CCTCAACGCTGCAATGTTCGCCAAGGGAAGATCGATCGTCCACAGCCACATACATCAAGATGGGAGCGTCATAGCGACAGACGAATATCATGGCCATCAACCGTCGAATAACGCGCTTCCCCTCCTCATCCCATTTACTGAAATCTTCAATCCGCTTCTGCTTGGTCTCCCCCTTCTCCTTCGCCTCTTTCTTCTCCACAGCGGCCTGGTGCTTCTTCGTCTGCTGATGCTTCCTCATGGTCCGCACTTGGATGCCGACGCCTCCCTGGACCCCCTTTGCCGTACTTGTAGACCTCGGGACGATGTGCTGTATAGACACTGCACTTAATCGACGACCTCCCCTTGTCTGTCTTCGTGAGCACCAACCAGGGAAACTTCTTCTCCCACACCGTGTCGAAATTGTGCTTGAGATCCGCCCACTTCGCCTTAGCATCCTTCAGCGCCACTACCTTCTCGGCCTCCTCCTTGTCATCCTCGGCGTCATCATCTTCCTCTGGAGGATCCGCAGCAGAGGAGGGGTCGGGCATACAGTGTGAGACCGGCGCATCCCGTGGAGCGGGCGAGGGGACTTTCAACGATGCACCCTTGGCCCAAGGCAGCGAGACCTGCCTGTACTTCTGCTTGTTTGTAGACATGCTACGTGTGGTCTCAAGGCGCACTGCGGCACTCACTGCAAGATGCTCTGCGAGAGTTGGTCGAGCAGGTGCAGTGTGCCGAGAGGGGGACAATGGCGGGGACGCTAAGGGGACGGGCCGTGGCAACTGCTCGGGCATGGATAGTGAGGGCGCAGTATAAGTGGTGCTAGAACGACGAGACGGTTCAGCAGTTGCGGTCCGCCTAGATCGAAGAAAATCCAAGCCACTAAGGAGGGGCGGCGAAGAACCATCCGGCCTCTTGTCACCGTCAGGCTCGACCTCGTCATTAGCCATGGTTAGCTGGTTGTGGAAGGGCTAAACCACGAGCAGAAACAACTACCAAGCAGCAGCAATGTGAAAAGAGAGAACACCCCACACACACCCCCCCTCTCCACCCCCGCCCTCGTGACCCTAGGATTTTCACGTGAACTTTGTCGACGAAACCACTCGGAGTGGTTTATAATTGGGGGGAAAATTGCGGGAATGAAGCAACAAGGATTTGGGGAGATGCAAATCACAATTGCAGGGGCGGGAGGGGAATCAGCGCGAGCGCACGTGGCAAGGGCCAATGAGTGCCCTCGCACACACGGCCCTCCAGCACAACTCGGGAAAAAATGAAGGGCCGATCGGCGCTCTCAAACTTGGAGGTGATTTGGTGAAGGACTAGATAGCGCCCTCACAGAGCCTTCAACATGCAATGGGCACTGATTTTGGCTAGGGCCAATCTGCACCCTCACACAGTCAACAGGGCTACAGAAGTCTCTTTCAGAGGAGCAGAATCGCTAACTCTGAAAGTTCAGAGGAACAAGTATACAGTTTCTGGAAAATCAGAGGAACTTAAAAACACTTTCTAAGGCATCAGATTTTTTTTTTTTTTTTTTTTGGGGTCGATTTCTAGAAAATCATATGAACGCCTAAAAAAACTTCTGAAAATCAGACAAACTGACAAATTTTGTCTGCAATCGAGGACCCTGGTGGGATGGCGTGTGGCGGCGTGGAATCTGGATATTCGCCAGGGACCACATGTACAGTTGTAAGACTCTGTTTCAGAGAAGAGCCAGGCGAATAGAAGACCCTAGGGTCTATTATCATGGTGTTTTCTTACAAACGAGTACTCTATATATAACACATGGATTTTGTATAGGTGTGGCATAAGTGTTAACGTGAGAAAGAATTACTAGAATGAGACATACAAGATGCTTTTGTGCTAAGGGGTTGTACTCTCTAAGAGTATGCACCTATCTAGCATATAAGCCACGTATGTATATATATATACATTTTTTTTACACACCCCCTTGGCTAGATGAGGGGCAGTGCCTGGCAAGTGACACACAACTCAGGGTGGCATTACCAGTCCAACCTCTGAGGCAAGGGTCCGAAGATCAGTTAGCAAAAGCAACCTAGGGCGGTACTACTAGTCCGGCCACTAGGACAAAAGCCACAAGGCCAGTCAAGATAATATAAAAGTAGTACACAATCAAGGTCCTAGCAAGTGTGAAGCTACAGGAACAAGACCAAGCTATACACAGTGCTGCTGATGATCTTTAGGCGCAAGCGCCTTCGTAAAGATATCAGCTGTGTTGGCACTGGAGGCCAAGTGTTCTACGCGGGCCTGGCGGCGCTGCTGTAGCTCACACAGGAGGAAGTACCGTAGCTGGATGTGCTTCGCTCTGCCCTCAAGTCGAGGCTCCTCACACAGGAGGATCATGGCCCTGTTGTCAGCATATAGGACCAGGCAGAGCTGGGCCGCTCACCTAAGTCAGTGAGCAAGAAAGTCAGCCAGCGGAGCTCATGTGCCGCCATGACACCGACATAGATCTCAGCCTCACAGCTAGACTGGGCACCAGACAACGAGCGGGTGGACCTCCACGTGATGGCGCCTGCACCAAGGCTAAAACAGTAGCCCTGGGAGGACCTGAGCGTCTCAACATTGTCTGACCACGAAGTGTCTCTGTGCCCTGTAAGGACCATTGGCCTGTGTCCTCCTAGCACTAGCCCCATGCCTGATGTACTAGCTAGATAATGCATGTGAGAGTACGACCCCGTTACACCACTGGGCCTTTTTTCTACTTCCTTCCTATTTTCATTTCTCTTTTTATCTCATCTCATTTGGTTTCCTATTCTCCCTTTTCCATTAACCTTTGGTTTATCCTGCTATTATAAGTTATATCACCGACCAGGCTTGGGATGTACTGGGCGCTATATCTAGCGTTATCCTGCCGTAATCCCTTAAAGCCAATAGCCTCGCGTGGCTATACGCAGAGTGATTCTATCTTCTAGAAGGGTCTATTCCCTTAGGATAAGATAAACCTGGTTACCTGATGTACTGTGGAAGTATAAAAGCGCCTTGTACTGATCGATAGTGCAATCTTTCCTCGACACATTCGATCCTGTGACACTTGGCAATTAGAGCTTTTCTCACTCGGCCGCGCTCAACAAAGCAGCAGCAGCGGGAAAACCTGCCTCGAAAAACCGCCGGGGGCGACCAATTCGACGCCAATTCTGGTAAGCACCAGCTCCGCGTTTTTTCGAATCACCCCCCCCGCGCGTGTTTTGAAAAGGATGGCAACCTTCGACAACGCCGAGGTTACCCAGCAGCTCTTCGCGCGCATCGCAGCCCTTCAGGAGGAGATGCGAGCGGATCGCGAAGCGTGGCGAAACGAATTCGAGCGAGTAACTCGACTCGCCGGAGCACAGCACGACTCGACAACGGCGACGACACAGCAGTCGCAGCAGTTTCTCGAGGCTCCGAAACCACGCCCACCTGAGCCGTTCGATCCGAGCGATCGAAACTCCGACGCCCGCAGATGGATCGCCGGGATGGAGATCTACTTCGCAGCCGTCGGATGGAGCTCGCCAGTCTGGGACGGTCAACGCGTATGACTCGCGGCGACGCTGATGCGAGGACCGGCACTCGAGTGGATTGGCGGCAACAGCACCTTCATCCATGGAGAAGCCACGTTGCAGCAGTTCCGCGCCGACCTGCTGAAACGTTTCGAGCCGATAAATTCGAGTTTCTTTGCTCGGGAAAAAAATCATCGACACCGACAGTTCGGGAGCGTAGCGCATTACACGCAGCAGATGGAGGAATTTTATAACCGCATTTCCGACCTGACCGAAGGGGAAAAAGTACAATCGTACCTCGCCGGGCTGAAGACCGAAGTCAAACGACAAGTGGCAGCGTCAAACTACGCGAGCTACAGTGACGTCGTTTCGGCAGCGGAGCGCTTCGACATGGTCAACGCCGGAACACGACGGACGCACGTCGGCAGTACGCGACAGGGCGACCGCTCGGCTCACCCCACGTTCGCCGACCCGATGGAAGTCGACAGGTTCAAGGGGCGGCCACGTCCGAAAAACACCAACTACACGTGTGATTTTTGCGGGGTGCCGGGTCATCGAATCTTCGACTGCAACAAAATGAAAACCGCACGTGCTGAGTATCGGGCACGCACCAGTAGCGGAATTCCTTCGGCAAATCAGAAGACAAAAAACGGGAGTCGCCAGTGATTGCGGATCTAGCTGGTGAAAATAAAAAGATCCGGAAGCGGCCGCGGGATTCCGGAAAAATCAACTTCGACGAAGCTAATTCGATGCGAGAAGGAGGAAATGATGGGGGAAAATCTCCACCCCACGACCAGTCTTCGCCAGGGAAAATCGCCGAGGAAAAAAACGACTCCGCGAAAAAAGACTCTGCCGAGACGGGGAAACTCCTTGAAGACCCAAGAAATTATAAGGATTCGTTAAAGCTATCCTATAAAGATGCTTTAATGAAAACTTATGATTTTCGAGGGGCTAGAGCCTTGGAGAAATTTCGGGAGGGACTCCAAAAGAAGCAGACATCTGTGGAGATTATACTGGTGCCGGACAACTTGGGGAAAAAATTAAGGAGTGTGGAAAGAAGCCGACCTTTCCACGGAGTCAACGTCCTCTCCCGACACCAGCCCACAACGACTACCCGTTCCCCAGGGAAAACGTCGCTGGAGCTAAAGCAGCTCAAGAGGAAGCTGGGGGTCTACAAGAAGCTGCACAAACCCCGAACTCCTCCTCCGGATGCATCCAGTTCTTCGGCATCAGTGACGCGCACAGTCGTCAAGGAAACTCCGGGCCCTGGAGAAGAGCCGTTCTCCAAGCAGCCTCGGCCAGCTGCCAGCTCAGGAGTAGATAGCAACCCAAAGGTGTGTACGGAATATTGGGATGTACCCTATGACCCAATCAATGAAACTATCTTTGGGTACTTCGAGCAACGCCTGCCCCTCGTGCTCGTGGTCATCTGCAAAGGACGACGCCTCCAAGCACTCGTGGACAGCGGAGCATCACACACCGTCTGCGACAAGGCAGTAATCGACCGACTTTGGGAAGAGTACAAGCCTTCATGATTCTCTGCAACGATGGTGGACGGAAGCAAGTTACCAGTACACGACGAAGCAGTGCTACACCTACAAATCGGACCACTGCGCTGGAGACCTGCACTCCCCATCACCAACATCAAAGGGCTTGACTTGATCTTCGGGCGAGACTTCCTAAAAAGATTCAACCCCGAGATCAACTGGGTGAATCGCACTGCAAGTATCTACAACAATGGACGGAGAGTACAGCTACCCAACTGGGACGATACAGGAGATATCCCAGTGGAGACACTCGCACGATTCGAGAAGGACGTGAAGCGAACCGACACCGGGTTCCTGGCGATAGCAACAGAGGCGGAGAACGACAGGGAAAAAACCTCGGAACCTCCAGGAAAGATCAAGAAATTATTGAAGGAATTCCAAGACATTCTTCCGGACAATCTTCCGAATGAGCTACCGCCATACCGGACGCATCAACACGAGATCGTAGAGGAACCGGGTTCGAAGCCGACCTTCCGAGCACCATATCGGCTCAGCCCTATGGAGCTGACCGACATGAAAAAACAGACCGAGTATCTCCTAGCCAAAGGAATCATCCAACCATCCACTTCACCGTACGGTGCCCCAGTACTCTTCACACCGAAACCGGACGGAAGCCTGCGCATGTGCATCGACTACCGAGCTCTTAATAAGCAGATCATCAAGAATAAATATCCGATACCGCGAATCGATGACCTGCTTGACCAGCTTCGGGGAGCTACGGTATTTTCCAAGCTGGATCTGCGGTCCGGATACTGGCAGATACGGATGGCGGACAACTCTATCCACAAAACTGCTTTCCGAACTCGGTATGGATCGTACGAGTATTTGGTAGTGCCGTTCGGACTTACCAACGCACCGGCAACGTTCCAAGCCAAAATGAACCACATTCTACGACCACTTTTGGACGAGTGCGTGGTGGTGTACAAGGACGACATACTCATCTACTCGTGCGACATAAAGCAGCACGTCGAACACCTGCGACGCGTCTTCGAAATTCTTCGACGAGAAAGATTCTACGTCAAACTGTCCCAGAGCGAATTCGCCCTTGAGAAGGTCCAGTTCCTAGGACACATGGTGAGCGCTCAAGGAGTTCACGTCGACCCAAAGAAAATCGAAGCCGTACGTACATGAAGGAGTTGCAGCAGTTTCTAGGCTTCGCTAATTACTACAACAGGTTCGTGCCACAGTATGCGAAAATCGCAGCACCACTCACGAATCTGCTGAAGAAGAACACGCCCTACAAATGGGAGCCAAAGCACCAGGTAGCCATGGAGCAGCTGAAGCAAGCACTTACGTCAGCACCAGTACTCATCTTGCCAGATCCCGAACGCGACTACGTCATCGAAGCTGACGCCAGCGACCGGGCAGTGGGAGCAGTCTTGATGCAAGACCAAGGGAATGGACTGCAACCAATCGCCTACCTCAGCAAGAAACTGCACGGGGCAGAACTAAACTACCCGATACACGACAAAGAGGCCCTTGCCATCGTCATTGCCTTCAAAGCGTGGAGATGTTATCTCGAAGGACGAAGAACAACCGTCTACACCGACCACTGCAGCCTGAAATATTTGAAGACACAACCCCACCTTTCCAGGCGGCAGGTCCGGTGGATCGACTTCCTCGAGACACACTTCCACTACGACATCGTGTACAAGCCCGGCCACAAAAACAAAGCAGACGCTCTCAGCCGACCTGCACACGTTGCCGCTATTCAGAGTGACGGGATGAATCCACTCCTCAAGGGACTCTTCACGCACGGGTACGCCATCGGCCCCGAAATTTCCTTGGCAGAAAAGCGACATCTGCTACAGTGGGACAGTGACATCGCGTACCCAATTACCCTCCTTTGGGCCAGTTACTACTCGAAGAATACCACGACGTCCTCTACGCCGGACACTTCGGTAGCAACAAGACACTCACCGGTATCGCCAAACACTACTACTGGCCCCACTTAGCAGAAGATGTCCAGAAATTCGTCACCTCGTGTGATACATGTCAGCGGATGAAGAGTAGCAAGCAGAAAAAGGCGGGACTACTGCAGCCTCTTCCTGTCCCAGAACAACCATGGCAAGTGGTTAGCCTGGACTTCATCACCGCGTTACCACCTACCTCCAGCGGTCATGACGCCATCCTTGTCGTCGTCGACAAATTCTCCAAAATGGGACACTTCATCCCGACACACACGACAGCACGCACCGAAGAAACAGCACAACTCTTCGTTCGATACATCATCTCACAGCATGGCATTCCAACCACACTCATCACCGACCGAGACCCTAAGTTCACCAGCAAGTTCTGGAAGGAACTTATGTCTCTCCTCGGGACCAAACTCGCCATGTCATCTGCTTACCATCCGCAGACAGACGGACAGACCGAGCGCCTCAACCAAATTGTTCAGCAACTCCTCCGAGCAGCCTGCAAGGACGAGATCTCCAAATGGGACTTGCACCTGCCCGTACTAGAGTTTGCTTACAACAATGCTACACATGCCGCTACTGGACAGACGCCGTTCTTCCTCTGCTACGGACGCCACCCACACACACCACAAAAACCGACAGCATCCGCTACAGTCCAACCTGCACATGATTTTATCACAACCATGCATCAGCTTTGGGATCGGACCCACAAGCGCCTCCTCGACATTCAACAGCAACAGAAGCGCCAGGCCGATCGCCATCGCAACGACCACACCATTACCGTGGGAGACCAGGTACTCCTTGACACCCGCAACCTTGACATCAGCCATCTCCCATCTAAACTTCGACCTCGCTTCTGCGGGCCTTTTGTCGTTGAAGCACAGGTCACTCCTGTTACCTTCCGCTTACGCCTGCTAGCTACCTGGAAGATTCACAACGCCTTCCATGTCCAACTTCTGAAGCCCTATCGGGATCCGAACACGATCTTCGTCGGACGCCAACCGCCGCCGCCACCGCCCGTCCTCGTCCAGAATGAACCCGAGTACGAGGTCGAGTCCGTGCTTGCACACCGCCATCGTCGGAATGGCACCGTGGAGCTTCTCATCCGTTGGAAGGGTTATGATCCTTCTGAGGACAGCTGGGTACCTGAGACCGACATGGGTAATGCCCGTCGTCCTCTGCATGACTACCTTATCAAGCAGGGTGTTACTTCTACCACCCAGCTTTGAGGGGGGGAAGTGTGAGAGTATGACCCCGTTACACCACTTGGCCTTTTTTCTACTTCCTTCCTATTTGCATTTCTCTTTTTATCTCACCTCATTTGGTTTCCTATTCTCCCTTTTCCATTAACCTTTGGTTTATCCTGCTATTATAAGTTATATCACCGACCAGGCTTGGGATGTACTGGGCGCTATATCTAGCGTAATCCTGCCATAATCCCTTAAAGCCAATAGCCTCGCGTGGCTATACGCAGAGCGATTCTATCTTCTAGAAGGGTCTATTCCCTTAGGATAAGATAAACCTGGTTACCTGATGTACTCTGGAAGTATGAAAGCGCCTTGTACTGATCGATAGTGCAATCTTTCCTCGACACATTCGATTCTGTGACAACGCAAAACCCTCTTAGCGGCTAACCAGTGCTTTGGTCCGTCTACTCGGGCCTGTTCATCACGCTTTCGCAAAGTCCGCTCCTCCCTCCTATCCTTTCCGCGCCGCCGCCACGGCCATGTCGTGCTGCCGTGGCGGCGTCTACACGCCAGTGCGCGGAGGGCATGGACGGCAACGGCCAGCGCCCGGTCTTAGCGCTGGCCAGCATGCCCGCATGCAGCCAGTGCGCCACAGGGGGCGGCACGCTCCCGGGCCCCGCCCCTTCCCCTGCGTCCCCTCTTCCTCGCCGCAGCCGACGGCTGACTGGCGCCGGCCGTCCCACCGTGGCGGAGCCCGGCCACGCCGCCGAGTGCTGCGAGCTCTGCCGCCGCCGCCGCAGCTGGTGCTGCTGGCCACGCCGCCGCCGCCGCCACTGTCGACGCTGCCGCCGTCGCCGCCGTTGCAGCCGCTGCCCTTGCTGTCGACGTCGCCGCCTCACACGCTGAGGGGTTGACCATGCTGGAATAGCCGCCACTGCTGCTGAGTATGGGGGTGCTAGGCTTAGGGGGTGTGTGGCTTAGTGTGGTGTGTGTGTGGTGTGCTTTCGGCTACCAATCCTAGGGGGTGTGTTTAATTATAAATTATATATATATATATATTTGTAGGCTTGGTAGTTGTTATTGGATCCTACTGTAGAGGGTACAACCCCCCTTCTTGTATCCCTCTCTCTTCTAGTCCAAACTGTCTTCTCTCTCGACATTTTCCCCTAGCCTAAAACCTCACGCCATTTCTATGGCTTCCCTAGATACCTAGCTTCTTCAATAGACGGGGCTAGCGGGGCGCGAACAGGGTCAGCGGGGCGCACGAGGCCGGTGGCGCGTACGGGGCCAGCGGGGCGAACGGGGCCTGCATGGCTCACAGGTCTAGCGGGGCTCGATGGGGCCAGCGGGGCGCTAACGGGGCCAGTGGGGCGAACCGGGGCTAGCGGTGCTCGACGGGGCTAGCGGGGCGTTAAACCCCCACGGCAAAATAGCAGAGGGGGCCCCCTATTGATCCAGGCCTCTCCTGAAAAATCGAAGTCCCTTTTTGGACGACGAGATGTCTGGTCGCATTTGCGCACAACTTCGCGCCTAACGAAATGAAAAAACCAAAAATCCACTCCCATTGGCCAGGCCAAAACACGATGAGCAGTCTGGCATGAGAATGTACGTGCATGACGAAATTGTGAATTCCCAGCGTCGGCAGCCCGTCGCACAGCGTGTCGCATGATTGCACGACTAGGGTGGCGAAATGGTGAAAAAACGCAGAGCCGTCCCTCTTGTTTCAAGACCATCCCAGCAGAGGTAGCGGGACGGCTAGGACTAGGCCTAAGGCAGAAACGCGGGTGGGCGGGGGGACCTAACCTAGCGTGATATCACGTAAGAAATAATGACAAGAATGAGACATACAAGGTGATTTTGTGCTAAGGGGTTGTACTCTCTAAGAGTACGCACCTATCTAGCCTATAAGCCATATATATGTATGTTTTGACAATAAGACCTTCCCTAGATCGTGTATTCGGATTTTGCTGCTGCAATGCTACCGCCACTGGCAAAGAATGGTCCACAATTCGCTGCCAGAAATTGCTTAGGCATAAATTTTCTCGCAAGCGCACCATGCCGTAATGATTGCGGCCGAATCGCAACATTCCTGTTGGCCCAGCACAGCTCGATATGGACGTGAGGCAGTAATAAGACACTATACATGCATTTTTTTGTATACTTAAATGAGTTCCATTTAGGTCTAAGATGTCTTGGCACTAGGATAACCTTTTCGATCCTCTCTCTATCTCTAGGGAGGGTACTTGGGAGGCTTTAATCGGTGAAGGTGGATATATGGAGCCTAACCCTCCTGATGACATCCCTTTTTGTCCCAGTGGTAAGGACTGGTGACTTCATGACTTGGTATCAGAGCCATCCGGGGTTCAACTCCTGGTGTACATGCGATCCCAGCGGGGGGAATGTGTCGTGGCACTAGGATAACCCTGTCGATCCTCTCTCTATCTCTAGGGAGGGTACTGGGGAGGCTTTCCTCGGGGAAGGTGGATATATGGAGCCTAACCCTCCTGATGATATCCTTTTTTGTCCCAATTGTCAAAACATATCTTAGTATGCTATTGTAGACTGTATAGGTTTGTGCCTTAGAGGGTACAACACTAGCCTATATTCTCTTGTACTCTCACATTCTAGATTATTTCATCATTCTAACATGGTATCATGAGTAGGTTAGGTCCCGTTCGCTCACCCGTGCTTCCACCCTAGGTCCTAGCCGCCCGTTCCCCCCCCTAGCCGGCCCGTTCCCCTAGCCGGCCCGTTCCCCTAGCCGGCTCGTTCCCCTAGCCAGCCCGTTCCCCTAGCCGGCCCGTTCCCCCTAGCCGACCCGCGCCCGTCCCGTAGCCGGCCCGCGCCCGTCCCGCGCCCGTCCCGCGCCCGTCCCGTAGCCGGCCCGCGCTCGTACCGCGCCCGTCCTGTAGCCGGCCAGCGCCCGTGCCCGTCCCGTAGCCGTCCCGTAGCCGGCCCGCGCCCGCGCCTATCCCGTAGCCGCGCCCGTCTCCTAGCTGGCCCCGCACCCTCCTTGTAGCCGGCCCCACGCCTGTCCGTTAGCCGGTCCCCATGCCCGCCCGTAGCCGGCCCCCGCGCCCATCCGTAGCCGGCCTTCGGCCCGTCCGTTAGCCGGCCCTGCGCCGCCCGTAGCCGGCCCCGCGCCCGTCCGTTAGCCGGCCCCTGCGCCCACCCGTAGCTGCCCCCCCCCCCCCCCCCCAGCGCCCGTCCGTTAGCCGGCCCCGCTCCCGCCCGTAGCCGGCCGGCCCTTGCGCCCGTCCGTCGCCGGCCCCCACGCCCGTTCGTAGCTGGCTCGTCCCCGCCCGTTCGTCGCCGGCCCGTCTCCGCCCCGCCCCAGCCCGCGCCGGCTCGCTCTCAGCGCCCGGCCCTGCACTGCATTGCACCGCACTGCACCGCCCGTCACCGCACTGCACCGCCCTGCATCGCAGCTGCATCGCCCCTGATGGCGGACTTTGTGCTGCGGTTTTACGTGGAGGGTCAGCCGATCGAGTTCGACACGTGGCTCGTCGACCTCCGCCGTCACCTCATTGGGCAGCGGCAGGACGGCCACTCCTTGGCTGTACACCTCGACGGTACGCTCCCCTGTCCTGACCCCCTTGCTGCGCTGCCCGCTGACCCCACGTCTGCTGAGCATGAGTCCGCTGCTGCTGCAGCCCTTTCCCGCTCTGTCTGGTTGTTGCGTGACGCTGTTGCCCAGCTAGCCATGAGTCATGCCCTTCCCCTGTCTGAGCGTCCGCGCTTTAGGTCGGTCAGTGAGCGTCCCCGCTTTAGGTCGGTCAGTGAGCGTCCCCGCTTTAGGTCGGTCAGGACCGCCCTGGAATTCCTAGATGCTGTTATTAAGCGCTATTCCACTCCGTCCGCTGCCTCCGTCGGTCGCCTGATCCTGCCTCTGCTGTTTCCTGACCTCGCGTCTTTCCCCATTGTCGCTGACCTAGCTGCCCACTTGCGCAAGCTAGACTCGATCTGGTGCTCTGCCTGCACTGAGGCCCAGCTTCGCGTGTTCCAGCCCCCCTCTGTGCTACTCTCTACCTGCTTGCCACCTGCCTCTCTGACCGTCTTGCTACTGCCCGCGATCGTTTTCTTAGTCTCCACCCTGCCGACCTCACCCTCACTGAATTTGTCAACACCCTGTCAGCCATAGAGAGTCGACAACGCTCTATCGCCCAGTTTAGCGGTACTGTGCTGGTCTCTATCTTTCAGGGCTGAGCGCCCGCTCAGTGCACTTTCTCTGACGGCTCTGCTGCTGTGGCTAAGACAGCTGCTGCACTGCAGTTTCTTCCGGGACTCCACTACTCTCACGGCACTCCCAGCCCCTGCCGCAGTTTCCGTGGCCGACCCCTCCTCCGGCCCTGTCGTAGCTCGTAGCTCCACTACCCTTCCTTGTCCAGCGGTTCCTTCGGGCTCCCTTACAGGCCTGCACATCCCCTCGTTCTCTAGGAACCTAGTTGGTGTCGGCTGCCTCCAGGACCTTGGCGTCACCACTACGTTCCCTGGTCACGAGCGGTACGCTGCCTGTACCGAGGCCGCCACAGGTGCTCCCCTCTCCACGTTCCCCCGGGACCCGGTGTCTGGCTTGTTCACACTGGACACCGCCCCCCCCTCGGTTGTGGCATCTCCCCAGGTGACTGTGTCTCCTCAGGTAGCTGCGTCTTGCTCGTGTCGGTCGCTCACTCACCTGACGCTACTGTGGCACCACCGCCTAGGTCACCCTGCTCTCCCCCGTCTTTGTCATATGTCTCAGCACAGTCTTGTTCTAGGCCTCCCTGGGTCGTTCCCTGCACTCCCCTCCTCACCCCCACCGCCGTGTTCCCCCTGCATCAAGGGCCTTCTCCACCGTGCCCCTCACTCCTCCTCGTTCCCTCCCACCACTGAACCATTGCAGACCTTGCATATGGATGTTTGGGGCCCTGCCCCGGTTCATGGGCCTCGTCGTGAGCGTTAATTCCTCGTCCTTGTTGACGACTACACTCGTTACACCACCGTGTTTCCCCTGGAGCGGAAGGCCGACGTGCCTGACGCTCTTATCCCGTGGCTGGTCTCCGCGCGAGTGCACCGCGGCCTTCCTGTCCTGCGTCTTCACTCCGACAGTGGTGGCGAGTTTGCCTCCGGCGTCCTTGGTCGTTTCTGCTGTGCGGAGGGCATCACCCAGACGTTCACCCTGCCGGACTCCCCGCAGCAGAATGGGGTCGCTGAGCGACGCATCGGTCTGGTCATGGAGGTGGCTCGTACCTCCATGATCCATGCCGGTGCACCCCATTTTCTGTGGCCGTTCGCCGTTCGCTACGCCGCCCACTAGCTTAACCTGTGGCCGCACCCCCAGCAGCCGCAGGTTTCGCCGACCCTTCTCTGGACCGGGTCCCCTGGTGACGCGTCTGCGTTCCACGTCTGGGGCTGCCTTGCTCACGTTCGTGCCTCCGGCACGGACAAGCTCACTGCCCGCACCGTCCCCTGTGTCTTCCTCGGTTTCCCCCTCGACTCGTGTGACTGGCACTTCTACCACCCACCGTCTCACCGTTCCTTTCACTCTTGCGACGTCACCTTTGACGAGTCAGTCTCCTTCTACCTCCGCTTTCCCCACCGTGGTCCCCCGGTTACGCCACCCCTGTTCCTGGTCCCCCCTCCCCCGGTCGCCCCTGCTTCCCCACCTCCCCACCCTGCCCCGTCCGGTGTGTCTCACGTCACCCCCCTCGCGTTGGTTGTCCTGATTGAGGAGTCGGCTGACTCTCGTGGCCCTGTGGCGCAGTCCATGCCGTCTGCCCCCCTCACCCTGTCTCCTCCTCCGCCTTCGCAGCCACAGCCGCCGTCGCAGCCGCAGCCGCCGTTGCAGCCGCAGCCGCCGTTGTCCCTGTCAAATGTAATTTATGTAGTTACTGTAGACTATACTGGATTGTGCCTTAGAGGGTACAACCCCTAGTCTGTATACCCCTGTATCCTTCTATTCTACTCAACTACTACTCATTCTGATATGGTATCATAGTAGGTTCGCCCCCCCCCTAGCCTGCCCACGCTTCCGCCCTAGGCCCTAGCCGCCGTCACGCATGCCCCTAGTCGTCGCGCCCGTCCCTAGCTGCCGTCTCGCCTGTTCCCAGCCGCAGTCGTGGCTGTTCCTAGACGCTGTCGCGACCGTTCCTAGTTGTCGCGGCTGTCCCTAGTCGTCTTGCGGACGTCCCTCGTAGCCGTCGCGGCCGTCCCTAGCCGCCGTCTCGTGGTCGTTCCTAGCCATCACAACTGTTCTTAGCCGCCGTCGCGGCCGTTCCTAGCCGCCGTCGCGGTCGTTCCTAGCCGCCGTCGCGATCTTTCCTAGCCGACGCGAACGCTCCTAGCCGCCGTCGCGGTCGTTCCTAGCCGTTCTCGCGGCCGTTCTGAGCCGTCGTGGTCGCCCTTAGCCGTCGTCGCGGCCGTTCCTAGTCGTCGCGGCTCTTCCTAGCAGCCGTCGCGATCGTCCTACCCGCCCCCCTGCGCCGTTGAGTACATCCCTAGCCGGCCCCGTGTGTCATCGCGCCCGTCCTAGCCTGCCCTGCTCGCCGTCGCGCCTGCCCCTTCTCGCCGCAGCGCCCGTCCTGGCCGTTCCTCCCCTGAGCCGTCGCGCCCTCTCCTAGCCGGCTCCTCGTGCCACCGTGCCCGCTCCTAGCCAGCCCCCCTTCGTGCCCGCTCCTTACCGGCCCCTCGTGCCCGCCCCTTGCCGGCCCCTAGCGTCCGCCGTCCGCCGACCGGCCCCTAGCGTCCGCCGTCGTCGCCGGCCCCTCGCGTCCGCCGTCCGCCAGCCGGCCCCTAGCGTCCGCCGTCGTCGCCAGCCCCTCGCGTCCGCCGTCCGCCAGCCGGCCCCTAGCGTCCGCCGTCGTCGCCGGCCCCGCATTCGCTTCGCCGCCGGCCCGCTGCCGACTCGTGCCCGGCCCGTTCTTCCCAACCAGCACCACCCTACAACCCCCCTGGTGCCGCACCGCACCGCTTGGCACCGCTCTGCATCGCACTGCACTGTGCTATACTGCATTGCACCGCACTGCATCGCGCTGTACCGCACTGCACCGCAGTGCATCGCACTGCACCGCACGGCGCCGCAATGCACCGCTCTACACCGCCCTGCATCATTCCTGATGGCGGAGGTGCTTCGCTTTGATGCTGAGGGCCAGCCAATTGAGTTTGAGGCGTGGCTGGCCGACCTCTGCTGCCACCTCACTGGTCAGCGGCAGGATGGCCACTCGCTTTCTGTCCATCTTGACGGTACGCTTCCCTGCCCTGACCCCCCTGCTGCGCTGCCCGCTGACCCCTCGTCTGCTGAGCGTGAGTCCGCTGCGGCCACTGCCCTTGCTCGCTCCGTCTGGCTGTCGCGTGATGCTGTCGCACAG